CAAATTCAAATAACTCATTAGTATTAGGAAATGTTATCCAGTTATTTCTCTTTAAGTAAATTGCTTCTGAAACACTTATCAAGGTTCTGGATAGAGTACTTTGGTTAACATTTAAATAAACAGCAACTCCCTGCTGATATCCTAATCCTGGATCTCCTAAAAAGGTAATATTTATATTTTTCAAAGTTTACAACTTATTTCCAAAACTAACCTAAACTTCTCAAAAATATCTCCATTTTCCGAGTGGGTGACAAGGCTCCACCTCTTGTTTCTACGGAATCGTCATAATCAAGAAAATGACTAGCAAGCCACTCTGCATTTTCTCTGTTGAATCGAAACACCAAAAAATATGAAAGTAATTTTTTATAAAGATTTTATATTAAAACCTAGTCCGCTGAAATAATACTTCCCGCCCTACTTTCCTACTTTCCCATTTAAAAAATCAAAGTTATGACTGTCACCTGAAGAAGGATTGCTTAAAGTTCGAAACATTGATACTATAATATATTGTGATTATTTTAAAAATCGACGTCTCCAAGCGTTTTGCTTATAATACTAAAAATAAATGAGTTTATATGAGGGGTAACACTTATTCCAGTGCACTGTATGAATAAAACTGCACGATTCATGATAATTACCTGATTATTTTACGATAAATATCGTCATTGTATATTCTTCCTGGTTTTTAGATTTTTGTACGACAAACGTTCATAAATGCTGCATGCATTTCTTAACAAAAAACACCTACGCCGAAGTCGTTCGTCCACCAACTTCACCTAAACTGAAGCAAATTCTACTAAACTAGTAAATTCTTTGAAAGCGTAGTACATCCTTCTATGTATCTAGTAAATAGTAGCAAATACTATGCAGGAAAGCAAAATGCTTTGTAAGTGTAGCAAGTACTACAAACATGTAGAATTACTTGAAGCATTAGAAGATACTACGTTTTATGCATTCTACCCAATATCTTAAAAATTATTTAATCTAGCTCCCTAGAAGATATCTTTAAGTCAAAAGATTGGGAAAATAAGGGAATCCCTATTAACGGAAGATACTTAAACCAACTTAGATACGCAGATGATGTAGTACTAATGGCCAACACGCGGAATGCAATGAATACGATGATTGAGGAGCTTTACACAACATCCCCAAAACAAAGATAAAAAAACCTATAATAAACATCCTCCAAGGGACAGAGATAGAACATGTAGAGGAATATACACATATCTGGGTCAAAATGTCAAGGTAAGCAAAGAAAATTAAACTACCGATATAAGCAGATGTGTAAAATGGGATGGGCAGCATTCGGAAGACACTCATACTTACTTAAAAATAAAAATATGCCTCAAATACTGCGAACTAAAGTGTTTAATGGGTAGCGGGTAGGAACTCTTCGGACAGTCATATCAGGGAAGAGGAATCGTTCCCTGCCCTCCGCAGATTCCAGAGCTTTTCCGACTCGGGAAACTAGCACCTGTTTAGGGTCCCTTGTTCAGGGTTACGGATGAAGACCATAACGGCAGATACGGCGGAGAAGCAAACCTTCGGTACGGTGTGGACGGCGGAAGTGGCAATCCCGTGATTTTAGGGCTGGTATAAAATAAAGCAGCGTCTGATCCAGAATGGACGGCTGCAAACAGCGTCTGACTCCAGGTTATGAGCGGCTGAAATCTAAACTCGCCAACCCGCTCGGCAAGCGTGGCGTTTTAATTGCTATTTTCCCTTCAATACATTCAAGCATAAATCGAGATTCAAAAATATAGTACCCCAGGTGGGTAAAGTTTATAATTCAGAATCCCACTCCAATATGGACTGCCTCACTGATTCTGGGGGAGGCAGAAGATCAAAAATACAGGACAAGGAATTAACAAATTAATTCTCAAAAATTTAAAATTGCTACATACAACATTAGAACCATGAGAACGAACGACCATCACCGGAGATTTTAATGCAAAAATAGGGCAGCGAATACCAGGCGACTCAGACTACATGGGAAATTTTGGTCTAGGTAACAGAAACACCAGAGGAGAAACATTAGCAAATTACGTAAGCACCGAAAAAATGTTTTGCCTGAACACGTTCTATAAAAAACAAATACAAAGAAAGTGGACATGACGGTCAGGTTAAAAATGAAATATATTTTATTATCTCCAGTGATAGATCAATATGTAAAAACATCGAGGTGTTGAACAAATATAACACCGGTAGTGGGCATAGATTAGTTCGTGTTGATATACGTATTAACGTAAATAGAGAAAGACGAAAACTATTAACAACAAACTCTTTACCGACGGCACACATCCTAGCCAGTAATAAAGAGAAATACCAAGAGGAATACGCACGAAAACTAGTAGCAAATACCTTTGAGCACAAGAATATAGATGAACTAGCTGAGAAAATAACTAAAGACATACAAACAGTCACTAAGAAATTTTGTTGCAGAATAAGGAAACAAAAGAAGCTAAACTAAAACCCGAGACTAGAACAGATAGAGAAAAGAAGAAGAATGAACAGAGATTACCCGGACTACAAAGCGCTTAACAAAAGCGTTAAGAAAAATATTCGAAAAGACCTCAGAGCTTATAGAACAAACCCGATTCTTGAAACCATAGAGAACAATAAGAACATGAAAGTACTGAAAACATGTAAATCCATTGGCAGCAATAAAATCATAAAGATAAAAGATGACTGTGGAACATTGTGCTGGCATAAGGAAGAGATCGTTAGAGAAATCCGAAAATTTTATGAGAAGCTATATACTTCTACTATTCCGAACCCTGGTATACCAACAAAATATATCTTAAATGTGGGCTCAGAGGATATTCCTGAAATAATAACATCAGAAATTAGAGCCGCCCTAAAACAAATGAAAAATGAGAAAACACCAGGAAATGATAAAATTATTTCGGAGATGCTAAAAATGGGAGGCACTGCATTAGACTGCATTAGAAGACACAATGCGAGCATTACTTAATAAATGCCTATTGAAAGGACAAATATCAAAGACATGGAAAAATGCGGAAGTCATTCTACTCCATAAAAAAGGGGACGCCGCAAATATAGAAAACGACCGACTAATAAGCTTATTGTCACACCTATACAAACTACTAACCCAAATAATAACAAATAGATTGACAACTAAACTAGATGCATACCAACCAGTAGAACACATTCTTTTTTTTTAATGTTGAGCCAAGCAATTCAATTTGGGTCTTTAAATCTAAATCTCCTACTCTTAAAAGTCATCTAACTCAGCTTGTGTAAATAACTGTGGTTGTACATTTTCTGAACGATACTGAAATTTACCATCACTTCCTGGACAACTTTCATCAGATTTTAATTCACTAATATTTAAAATGTCATCAGTACGTAGCTCAGGGTCTGGCAGTTTGGGTCCACGCTCTAGCACAGGTAAAACACACAAGAGGTTAGGATAAACAACCAGTTTATTAATTTTGGGGTAATATCCAGCGACACTAACAGTACAAAAATAAGAATCACTTTAATGAGTTTTTGCTCTCTCCATAAATCTGAAAGCTGTTTTTCTTTCTTCTATCACTTCCTTAAATTCTTGTCCCAATCTTTGTCAGAGTCACCAATTTTTACAACAAAATATACAAAATACACCTTTTTTACAAAGTTATTAATGTTTCTCTGATGTTTTTTAATAACAAAATCACCACATATGTAACAAAATCAATATGGACAGTTTTTACAACCGCGATTAGGCATACGTAAATGAGTATGAGTAGAACTCTATAAAGTAAGGTTATGTCTGTTAGAATAAAGGAACTAAGTATAGATCTGTTAATTAATATAAGGAAAAACAAAGAGTGTAAAGTAAGAGTGAAAAGTAACATTAGATTTTTCTGATCGTTAAACAAAACAAAATGTAATTATGCAATTTTAGGTAATAAATTATAGAAGAATAGTGGGTGATACAACATTCTTAATCTAAGGCTGTTTTAGCAGTCAAAACACACTGCGATTTGAAATGGGCGTATCACTTACTTTTCCTCACTGCTTACGCCAGCCGACGACGGGTACAGCTGTTTTCGCAGTGGCGCCGGCCGGCGGGTGGTTTAATGAAAACAAATGCATTATTCTCCATTCAAATTACTTTTGTCGGGAATACCTTTTTTGTTTGATTATCGTAGATGTTTTAAAAATAATTATCACATTTTTAATTTATATGTCTTAGCTAAATATAGTATTGAATATAAATTTGTGAAACGTGACTGCAAAAAAACATCATGGTGTTTATTTATAATAAATTTAAAATAACAAATATATTATTATCAAAAAAAAATACAATTTGTTGTCACCAACAAATAAACAATTTCGCAGTTATAGCTTGAAATTGATTTCAAATCAAACTATCTGACCGTACGTTCATGAGATTTGACGTCACGCAGCCGATAACGGTGAAACTAAATGCCAATGATGAGTAACACGTTTCACTATTAGATTTCAGTATTTTTTAGCAATTTTCTTCAAAGTTTGAACACGCTTTTTTCGATTATTACTGGACATAAAAAGGTGAAAAAAAAACCAACGATTACAGAAAAAAAACTCTTTTAAGTGATGGGCGTAAAAAGTTTGGTTATAATAGAACGTTAAACTGTATAACCCGATATTTTAAAAGAACTTTCAAAAAAATTAAAAAAGTAAAACCATCAGTTTAAAAGCAACATAATTTTGAATAACGTGTCCAAATTTCGAGATATTTTGTCGGTAAATAACAGAGAAAACACTGTATCTAGGTTTTGGTGTACCGATAAAACAGCCTTATATATAAGCTGCAGGTAATTTTGTAAAAAAAAATTTATCGTTGGCCTGCGTTGTAAAATTCGTAATGATATATGCGAAATTATGCTTAAAATAAGAAAGTTTTAGTCAAATTCTGGTATGACCGAAAGACAAAAGAATTATTATGCTAGATAAAAATTTACACAATTTTTGGTTTTCAATAATTATTAAATTTTAAATCTATTTTACAGAATGTATAACGAACAACGCCAAGCATTATTTGCTATAGCGCTCAGGGACACCTTGTTGAGACCTCAAATTACTAGAAACCAATTTCAACCTTTGCTCACAGGATCACTTACACAAACAGCACACAAGTTGGGTCCGGACTATGACTCTGAGGTAACACTTTAACCGTTTTTCTTAATTAAAACATTTTGAAGACAAGCTTTACAATATTCTTCTTCTTTAAGTGCGGTCTCCCAATCGGAGGTGGGATATGGTTGGATCATCATTATCTTTACTCTATCTACTGCTGATCTGAAGAGTTCTATAAAACTGCTTAAAACCAGTCCTTAAATTCTTCAACTATACACACTCTCCTTCTTCATATACTCCTTAATCCTCTTATTTTTTCCTGTATTATCAGCCTTAGCAGTTCATATCGCTGTTCTTTTATTACCTGTTCCAGATATTGTAACTTTCTTATTTTTATTGTGTTTATTATTTCGCATTCTTTGCCCATTTCTCTCAATACTTCCGTGATAGTTTTCTTCTGTGCCCATGCTATTTTAAGAATCCTCCTGTAACACCACATTTCAAAGTTCTGTAACTTATTTATGTATTCTTGATTCAATATTAAGCTCTCAAGTCCATATTGCAGTATCGAAAGCACGTTGCATCTCAGTGTTCTTACTCTCAATTTTATTCTAAGGTCTTTGTTGCAGAGAATTGTTTTTATTTTTACAAACGCATTTCTTGCTATTTCTATCCTGACTCTTATTTCGGTTGTTTGATCATTATTGTCTGAAATCCAGGTCCCTAGGTATTTGTATCTATCAAGCTTTCTATCGGTACATTTCCCAAATGTATGTTTGCTGGTACATTTGTTTTCTTTGTTGTTATCATGTATTTCGTCTTTTTTATATTTATTTTTAGTTATATTTTTCACAGAAACTGTTTTTTAGCTTAGCAGTAATTGGAGTTATTCAGCAGAGCTTTCAATAATCACGGTGTCATCTGCATATCTTATGTTGTTAATAGATTTTCCGTTAATTATTATTCCTTCACTTTGAGATAGTGACGCTTCTTCAAAAATAGCTTATACTATATATTAAATAGTAATGCGGGCATATACATCCTTGCCGAACTCCTCTCCTGATTCCAATTTCTGGACTGGGTTCGCTATCTATTACGATTTGTGCTATTTGATTCTAGTAAAGGTTTGTTATATTATTCGTAAGTTCTTATGGTCTATGTTTTTTGTCTTTAAAATTTGGACTAATTTTTTATGTCCTACTTTGTCAAATGATTTTTCAAAATCAGTGTAACAAACATGCACATTAACATTTATGTCCATGCATCTTTAAGCTAACAGATTTAAAGCAAATAACGCTTCTCTGGTCCTAGTCCGTTTCTGAAAATAAACTGACTATCAACTATTCCTTCTTCCAGTTTCTTATTTATACGACTATGTATTATTTTCAATAATAATTTGAGAATAAGACTTATTAGTGATATTGTTCTGTATTCACTGCAATATTTAGCGTTTGTATTTTAAGGGATAGCACAAAAGCTGGAGATTAACCATTGTTTTGATATGTGTAATATTTTGTATACTGAGTTAAATAAGTCTACTATAATAAAAAAAAAAATGAAAAATGGCAGCAAATATTTGATTTCGCGCAAACAAATCCTATGTTACTGTAGATACGTATTTCGACCTAATAGGTCTCGTCAGAACAGCTATTCATAGGAGTTCTCAACGTGAAAAATCAATATTTTCTGCCTTTTAAGAAGCAGCAATAACATGGCTTCAATACGGACGCGCTAGCGACATCTAATTACAAAAATCGTAAAATAGTTTTAAGCCATGTTATTGTTGCTTCTTAAAAGGCAGAAAATATTGATTTGTCACGTTGAGAACTCCTATGAATAGCTGTTCTGACGAGACCTATTAGGTCGAAATACGTATCAACAGATACATAGGATTTGTTTGCGTGAAATCAAATATTTGCTGCCTTTTTTCATTTTATTCGGATTTACTCTGTGTGAGTACAAGAAGCACAATTCGCTAAGGATTTCTGCTTAGTTGTAAAAGACATGTCGTGGAATGCAAATTTTAGATTCCCCATCTCTCTTAAAACATCTTTTATCAACGTCTGTTTGCCTTGCAATTTTTAGAAGGCTCAGATTATAAAGCAGAAATCTGAATAATTGTGTTTCGAAACTATTTTACGATTTTTGTAATTAGATGTCGCTAGCGCGTCCGTATTGAAGCCATTATATTGTTGCTTCTTAAAAGGCAAAAAATATTGATTTTTCACGTTGAGAACTCCTATGAATAGCTGTTCTGACGAGACCTATTAGGTCGAAATACGTATCAACAGATACATAGGATTTGTTTGCGTGAAATCAAATATTTGCTGCCTTTTTTCATTTTATTCGGATTTACTCTGTGTGAGTACAAGAAGCACAATTCGCTAAGGATTTCTGCTTAGTTGTAAAAGACATGTCGTGGAATGCAAATTTTAGATTCCCATGTCTCTTTTAACATCTTTTATCAACGTCTGTTTGCCTTGCAATTTTTAGAAGGCTCAGATTATAAAGCAGAAATCTGAATTGTGTTTCGAAACTATTTTACGATTTAAGTCTACTATAATTCTACGATTTCATCATTTATGCTTTTTAAGATTTCTATATGGATTTGGTCTGGACCTACTGCTTTACCATTTTTGCTGTTTTTAATGGCCTTTTAATTTCCTCTTTTAATATTTTTAAAACCATATCCTCTTCTACTTCTATCTCCATTTGCTCTGTTCTATTGTCTTTGAACAGTTCATTGATGTATTCTGTCCATCTCTTTAATATGTCGTTAGTATTTAACACAACTTTCCCATTTGCATCTTTCAGTATTCCTGGTTTTTTTTCTTCTATTATTGTGAGTTAATTCTTAAATTTTTTTATGTTTGTTAAAACTATCATGTCTTTGCATTATTCTTTTAACGATTGTTCGTTTGCTTTTTTAATTCTGTATTTTATTTGTTTATCCATTTTTTTGTACATCTGATTATCTTTGTTTTTATATTGATGTCTTTCTTTTATTAAATCTAAAATTTTTTCGTCATTCATTGCTTCTTTTTATATCTGGTTGCTATTAGAATTTCTTTTTGACTTTTATCTATTTCTGTCTTTATTAGTAACCATTTTTTACCCGTCTTAGTGTTTTGCAGAATTTGTTCTTTAACGTTAATTAATCCGTTGTTGATTTCATCTGCCTTGGATAGGTTTTTGCAGATATAATTGCGTTTCTGTATCTTTGTCTAACTAATACATAGTCTATTTGGTTTCTTACAATTCTCTCTTCTTGACCTGCTGATAATCTTCTCTTTTGCATTTTGAACAATGTTAGCTACAACAAAATTATTGTTTTGACAAAATTCGATAAGCCTGTCACCCCTTTAGTTACTGTTGCCCAGACCATATCTTCCTGTACATTCTTCTACTTTTTCTTCCCCAACCTTTGCGTTAATGTCTCCCATTATAATTGTTACATCTTGCGTTTTAATGGATTTTAAAACGTTTTCTAGGCCTTCGTAGAAATTTTCGATATCGCTATCTGGTTTATCCGCAGTTGGAGCATAAACTTGTAGGATATTTATTTTTATTTATGCTTAACAATAATGTTTATTTTTTTTTAATTAGGTTACAAATCGGCTTTTTCTACTGATACAAAAATATGGCATAGATTTAGCTGCAATTGATATCCAGAGAAGCAGAGATCATGGTGTGCCATTTTACAATGATTTAAGAGTTTACTGTGGTTTTACTAGAGCTACGAAATTTAGCGATCTCTCAGACTGTATGAGCGAAGAGGTAAGTATTCCTATAGATTGATTGCCGTTATTAGTAAATGGATTCAGATTTCCCAACTCACGTTGCAAAAGCAGTTTATTTTAATTCTCATGCTAAGATTTGTTGCTTAAGTAAATCGCTAAAAAAAATTAATTTGGCTTTCTACGAATAATATTAAAATCTGACCCGCTTTTCTGGAACCTTCACTATCGTTAGTTAATAATAGCTTTAGATATAAATACTACTGCTGAAAAAGTTACCTTTTAAGTTTTTTAAGATATAGAAAAAACATCGTAAAAAGTCAGGTTTATATTTTTAATGTTATTTTTTACTGTATAAACAATATATTTTTGTTGATGGATTTTGTAGAATATTGCAAAATTGGAATCAATATACGAAACGGTGGACGATATAGAGGGAATAGTGGGAGGCCACCTTGAAAAACCTAAACCTGGAGCAAAGGTGGGTCCAACATTCTTTTGTATCATAGTAAAACAGTTCCTGCGAGTCCGCAGATGCGACAGATTTTTTTTCGAACACCAAGAAGCAGGATTTACCAATGCCCAGCTGAAGGAAATTAGAAAAACCACTCTTGCTGGATTTATTTGTGAAAACGGTAATGCTGTAGAAAAGATGCAAACATACGCTTTCAAGACACCTGTAAATCTGTAAGTATTAGTTTAACTTAGTTTGTAACATTTATTAAGAAAGTCGTGGTAGCTTGGCTACATTGGGAAATATTTTTTGCAGTTTAACATTATTTATTCTTCGAATACCTGTCTCGGAATGATGTTCACGTAATTGAACACGCTTTTCCATTCACTTTTATGTCAAAGCTATTATTTATTCACTTTTATTGCTACACTCGTTTCAAACGGCTTTATTTAACACTTTAAGCTCCATATGTACCAGACTGACACACACTCTAGTTTTATCTGGGACAGTGTGTACCTATCAGGCCACAGCGAAGTGTCGTATTCCTAAAGCTGTGGCTCGTCAAGGATCGCATTTGCTATGTATAAATTTGTGTAAACGGTCTGTTGTAAACAAAATCAGAGGTTGGACTGGTAAACCACTTGTTCACAAACAGGTTAGGTTATAACGTCTAACATTCTTTAGTCAGTATCAGTTTGAACGGCTAACGAGGCTAAGGCTATTAGTTATTATATTATTTAGTTTTTAATTAAAAGTGGAATAAAAAAAGAATATAATGTTTCGTAAAGGATTATTGAAAGACAAACTTAGCAGAATTGCCGAGGAAAGTGATGTTACTGATATCAATACGCCTGAATGTACGTTTTATGATTCCGATGCCGATCCAATGAACAATGAAAATATTACTGATGATTCTTTAGACTCATGTAGTAGTGAATATGACTCTCGTATAAAATAAGCTAAAATTTGCACGCAAACACAAAATTGCAAAGAATTTACTGCAGGTCCTAGTTCTAACCAAAAGAAGCCCGTTACAAGAAGGATAGGTAAGTTATTTAGGAATGCACAATTTCTGTTTGTAGTTGACTTTTTGGTTTTGTAGAAACAGTTGAATCTGCAAAAACGTTAGCCTGGAAGCTACTATTGACGATGTTGTATCAAGAAATAAAATAACATCTAGCAATGTATCAAATTCAGATGATCTCAATAAGTTCGAACTATCCTTTACTTTAGGAATAAGGTCTATTATCACTATGGTGCCAGGCATGTGCTCGGTTTGTGCCCTGCTCGAGACGTGCAAAATTACTTTAACGTTATTTAAATGGGTTAAGCGACGGTCCGTTCTCACTACAAGTGCTTGGAGTGGGAACGGTCCGTGCCCGTCATCGGACAATCTTTTCAAACAATATTTTCCTAGCCCATGCCTGGCACATTCGTTGCACAGTCCTACATAGTGTGAATACTTCTGACGAGTTTCGACAGGCAAAACGGTGCGAAAAAAATTATTTTCACATGATACTGATGAATTTTTAATAGAATTAGTTCGTATGAGAAGTGAATTATACGATTTTATGAATCGACTGTATGCAGATGCAGCACATAAGTCTCAGGTATGGTGGGATATTGGAGAAAACATTCAAATAGGTATATAAATAAAACACTATATTTTATCTAGGTAATAGAGCACTGCCGATAATATTTTAAACAAAAAAAAAATAATAGTAGGATAAAACTCGTTGGAAAAGAAAGATGATATGACATAAATGAAAGAAAAAATAATTTACGGGCGACCTGAGTTCGGAAAATAGAGGGAGTGAGTTTTTTAAGGACAAAAATGGTTTATCGTGATTGCCTAGAGCAAGTCGAACTACATATCTACTAAAGCAAGTAGAACTACAGAAAAAATCTTTTTGTAGTTAAAGTAGCTCGAACCACTATTGATTGGTGCTATAATTTTGATGTGCTTTTCATCTAGGGCTCCTAATGCCCTTGGGAAAATTCTACGACAACCAAAATTTTTTGTCAATTTGTTCAAAATCGCATTCTGCTGTCAATTCTGCTAAAATTCGGCAATTGACATTCTATAATATATATAAAATTTTAACTCATTTTCCATGAGTTCTTTATACAAGGTATAGTATTCTCCTTCTATGTTTCTTTCCCTAATCATTGGATGTATCCAATACCTCATTTTTAACTTTATCTCTCATATTCTCTTCTTCTTCGGCATCCAAAGTAAAAAAGGCAATTTTTACTAAAGTTGCCGTAAAAAACATTACGACTGCACAACTACCCACCGACACGTCTAACCGACTGCCTGTGCAAAATATCGCTGAAAGCATGCTACGAGCGAGAATAGTGTGAATATTTACCAAAAGCATGGCATGTGCCGGTCAGGTGACGAGCACGGGCCTGGCACGTCTAATGAGAATAGACCTTAAATTAGGAAGAAATTGCAAAACTTATAGACCACAAACCAATAGATTTCTACCTATTGTTTATCGACCGTCAAGTGCAAGATTTGTTGGTTACTAAAACTAATAAATACGCCGAACAAACAGTAATCGCTGGTATTGTAAATAAATTAATAACGAAACATTCGCTTATGAGTAACTGGAGACCAATTGACAGAGAAGAATTGCTTCGATTTCTGGCTCTCATTATTTGGATGGGGTTAAACAGAAAACCCATGCTCAGAGATTATTGGAGTAACAATTTACTTTGGAAGAATGCAATTTCTAAAATGTATGAAATAAGTAGAAGTCGATTTGAAATATTGTTACCCTTCTTTTACATTTCAGATTACGAGAGCTGCCCACCTGGAAACAGACTCTACAAAATTTCTTCTGTACAAATACTATATGAAAAGTTTCAGAAAATGTATATTCCTAGAGAATCGTTATGTATTGACCAAACCATGGTGCCATTTTGTAGCAGACTTAGTTTTTTGCAATACATTTCTAAGAAAAGACACAAATATGGAGTTTAATTGTTCTAACTTTGCGTCGCAGATGGATATACGTACGCCTTAAAAGTGTACCGTGGAAAAGAGATGCAATCATTTGAAAAGTCGTTAGCATCCAGAGTGGTGATGGAACTTATGCAACTGCTTCTAGATGCAGTCAGAACTTTATATACTGATAATTTTTACAAGTATTGACTTGGCTCATGATTTAAATAATAGCAAAACCCATTTAGTCGGAACATTACGTTCCAATAGGAAACTTAATCCAAAAGCGGTAGTCAATGCAAAATTAAAAAGAAGTGACATGAAATATCTACAGACTAATACAGAAGTTGTTATCCAAAAATGGAAAGATAAACGGGACGTTTTGTTTTTAACGACCAAGAATATTCCTTTGATGATAGATGTTCAAACAAAACGTGGACCTGTTCCTAAACATCGACCATTGTTGACTATAATTCTGCAAAATCTTTTATCCATGTGTGGAATCAAAAGGATGCATATAATTCCCCTGTTCGACGAATTATATAGTAGTATCGTAAATTAGCTGTAAAACTACTAACAATATACCGCAATTGTAAACTCCTTAGTTTTCTACAAATCTGTTACCGGCAAACATCTCTTAATTACTGAGCTCTGTGAACAGATTGTTCAAGGTCTTTTAATGCCACAAACAACTCCTGAAAATACTTTAATAACTCTGCATACGTTGCTCAAGAAAGAGAAAAGGGGAAGGTGTTCAGTATGTTAGAACTTATTTAAAAACTTTTCGAATCGTGAAGGAAGAACATCAGAAGAATGCCAAAAAGGTGTACACTTTTTGTCCGACATGTGCCGTTACTACCGCATATATATGTGAGTTAAGTGTTTTGTACATATTTATACACGTTATTTAAAAAAATTAATTGTTTTTGTATTTTAAACTTAAAATGTCTTAGGAAGAAGGTATTTGATTATCTTCCTAATGTGAGCCCATATGGCACAAATGGTCCACATTAGAACAAATTACAAAAATATTTATAAATAGACCGTGTGTACCGTGTTAGTACATGCTGTTTTTAACTCAAAAAATGTATTTTTTATTTATTTTAGAATAGAAATAAATAGTTAAACACATTTTTATTTCAAAATTATTTAAAAAATGTTCCGGTCTGACAGAAAACATATCATGATGGTGCGGGGCTTAAAGTGTTAAACACCAATTTGCTTACAATAATTCAACATACTAACAACTATAAACTTTAGAACATTAATTACAACTGTTCTAAACTGCTAAAAGCATCTGTTTACATTATATATTTTTTAAGGTTCCTTACCTAATCTGGACATTTCTTGAATTTTAGATATTATTTTGAATGTTCGCGAACTGCTTGTTCGTTAAATTACTTTTTCTATGTGGGATCAATCTTACCGAACTTTCGCAACACTGCTCAATCCTATATAGTTTTTTGCCCCGAATAACTGGAATAATATTTAATATATATTTGTCCATGCAGTCTTTCTATTTCTAAAATTATTTTGACTCTCATCATTTTTGTTAATGTATTTATCTTGCGTCATTATATCTTGCGTTCTGAATATGCCTACTTTGGCGTACATTTCGAATCTATCTTCATTGAGCCTATCTCATCCAAATACACAATGCTTGGTTGTATTAAGAACTCCATAGTCAACACAGTTGCCATTCGTTGTTTTACCTGTTATTTTGAGGTAGTATTTCTCTGAACGATCAATGACCCTTTAGAAATTGTGTAAAGAAGTTGTTTCTAATAATTGCAATTCATCCACTCCTTTACATCTGGGATTATCACTCTCATCCATGGAGCCCGCGTTCATTTTCCCATTCTGCTTGCTACATTTTTATTGTTTTCTCTTTTTCTTTCTTTTTCCGGCTTTTCTTGCTAAATAGTCTCGATTTTTTTTTACTTGTAGATGAGCTGGTTCCGTTATAACTTATAGAATTACACTCGGGACCATCTAGTATGCGCAGACCACCCCAACAATTTTTCCAATATTAATATTGTATATCCTACCTGTAATTAATATAAATACTTTTGTTTGTTTAGTACTTGATGTCATATTGGTGATGCACATAAAATTGTCCAGTAGACAACTTTAGTGAGAACTCGTCTTTTTTCTGCATTAGGTCCTACTATGTTAGGCTGAATTCTTGCTAGTGCCGCAGTTCTTTGATCAGTCTTATTGGCGAAGTATTTGGTATATCCAAATATTCTCTTACAATCAAGCATAGCGTCCAAAT